TATTTTATCCCACATCACATTTGTTTTTTCATGAATATCCCAAATTTTGAAATCTTGAATTTTACTCATAAAATTAATTTTATTTGTATCTTTTAAGTTTCTCCATCTAATTCTGCAATGATGAGTCCTAGTATTTTTTATTTTACAACTCTTAATCTTAAAATCTAAAACTAATAAACGATGTTGGGTATTTAAATTTTCACTTGGAATGACTTTACAATCTTTACAATCACGACGATCTCTTCTTCTCATAAGAAAATAATCAATTTGTGTTTTATTAGATCCACTCTTATAAGTAATAAGATGTTCATCCCTTTTCTTGAATAAAGTATTAGTAATAACAAAATCAAACGCTAAAGCAAAATCTAAAATAACTTTACCTTCTTCATTAGTTACTCCAAAACCGTAGCCACCATGAATATTTCTGAAATCTTCTACCACTCTACCGACATGTCCATTTAAATCTCCTCCAATAAAAATTCTTTCTTCAAGAGGTATCATTTGTATTAAGTCTTCTAAGTCATTCCAAAATTTATCTTTAGACTCTGTATCTAAACCTACTTGAGGAGCATAAACACTTATAATATTAAAAATCTTAGTATCAATGATAATCTTAAGGGCTATAATTCTATCACCAACTCTATTAATTTTTACAACATTATCTTTCAAACTCTTATCTATAATTACACCTACACCATTTCTAGTGCGGCTTTTACCAGAATACCAAAGTTTAAAACCTAAATTATCAATCTCCTTAGCCTTTTCTCCAACCCACTTAGTTTCTAGAATACATAAGATATTAATTTTCCTATGAATCATAATATCAACTAATTCCATTAATTTACCATTGAGAGTGCCTATATTCCAAGATCCTATCCTAATATTAGTTTCATTAGTTTCATTAGTTTCATGGACTAACTTCTTTACCCGCATTCGCCCGTAATGTGGGAACCCTTGCTTATTTAACACTACACCCGGGCGCCGGTGTAGTGTTAAATATTATTCTCCCAATACTAAAAAATATTACAACACTATGGGCATTACCATCTTTAAAAATATTTATTCTTCTCCAAAATTCATATCTGAGGAAACAGTTTTCTATGAATATGAGTTTTATAGCAACATCAAACTTATCATCTTGTTCTCAACCAAGATATCATTCAATCCTGAATGAATCTCAATCATCTAAATCTAAGTCATTTGAAAATCACATATAATAAGCAAGATACAAAGAGATATCCAATTATAAATGATAAATAAATTCAACTGACAAGGGAAAATAATGCATTCTCCTGAACCAACCAATGTTCAACCCATGTCCTGACATCAATTCACAGGGACAACATAATATTGATTAGGATGATAATCTTAACATGCCTATTTCTACTATCAGGAAAAGCTCCAATCATGAAATCACTCAATACATCTCTTATAACAAATTATCTCCTAAATTTTATCTCTTTACAATATTCAAAATAATTAAAAAACCCTTGGACTGTGAAATTCTATTCCCTGAATAAATTCAAGCCCTTGAAAGAAATGACACTTAAAGCTCTCAAATCTTCTCAACGGAAAGAAAACTGTTTGATACAAATAGTTCTTCAATATAAAATATAAGGGAAATGGAAGTATTGACTGATACAAAGTAGTAGTATTTCTGGCAAAAGACTTCACTCAAAATTATGGTATTCATTATCAAAAAGCCTTAGCCCTGATTACTACAATAATATCATGGTAATTTTTTCTCTTGTCGTTTGCTGAGATAGCCCATTCCACAACTATATGTGAAAAAAACCTCTCTAAATGAGGATTTAGATGATAAAGACTATATAATAATTCCTCCAAAATTTGGAAATAAGGTAACCCAAACCACAGATGCAAACTCAAAAAATCTTTATTTGAATTGAATAAATCACCAAGAATTTATTTCAACAGATTCACCATGTTGATAAAATGGTACCAGCACTTACAAAGGCAATCTGATCACACTTTGTTCACCAAAAAAAAATATTCAATAGAAAAAAATCTCTATCCTAATTATTTATATGGATAATACCATTTCATAAAAGGCCAAGAAAAACGGGTAAGCTACCTAAAAGGTGTCTCAACAAAAAATTTTGAAATCAAGATTCTTGATTTATTAAACTATTTCTTAAGCATGAAAATAGCTATATCAAAGGATATAACCATCTTGCAGCAGAATTATGCCTTAGACTTATGAAATTAGGATGCTTAGATGGCAAGTCTGTAGACCAATAGATCATTTAAATAAAACTGAGATTAAGGATGATACAACTACTGCTTTTAGGATTTAGGATATAGGATATCAATAGTTAGTAGAGAAACTCATCTATCTATCCCATGCTATAACAAATATTTATATTCCCATAACTGTTGTTAGTTTATGCATAACAATGATTTAAATTGACTAAACATGTAAAAAGTTTGATGGATATCTGCAAATTTGAGCTTAATTTATTCGTTGAATGCAAACTCAATACTATTCAGACAACATGACAATCCTATCTTTAACTTTATAGTGCTTCATTTGCTAATTTTGTAATTATTGGATGCTTTCAGGGTGATAGTCCAGTTCATGTGCAGCTACGTTACTCTCCCACTTTATGCACTTGTGTCTCAGGTATATTTCTCTCCCCTTTTAAGTGATGCGCAAACTCCAAATGATTAATTCTTATAGGTTTGGACAAAAAAAATATTAAATATGTTTGTTTAAAGATAATGATGAAACTCCTCATCTTTAACCATAAAGAAACCGGCTGGGATGGCTTTTTAAATGCTCAATCTCCATCACTCATGCTGAATGCTATGGATCACTATAATGTGCAAAGTTTGATGAGCCACTCATTCATATCATTTTTTATCTAGTATTCTTTCCTAACATTTCTTTGTTATTTTTATCGACTCATCTTATAATTGCAACCAAATGATTGTAGAATTGCAAAATTTAGTTTACTGAATCTCATGTATATATGAAGTTATTGATGCTGTTATAGCTCATATTACAGCCTGACAAAGCCAAAATATTTCATTGTTTATATTTACTTCTCAGTTATTGATGCTGTTATAGCTCATATTACAGCCTGCCCATTGAATAGATAACAGCAATTGTAAACATTGCCCTTTAAACAAGTTACGGCCTAATGGCTTGCTGAATCAACATAACAGGAGTAACCACTCAATATATATATATATAGTGCTCAATTGATATTTTAGTATCATAAAACCAGTTAGTCAGCTGAGTTGACATCCGCATAATACAAAATATGTGATATTTTGCAGATGGGATCACAAATGAAAAGGTCCATTTTTGATGGGCAGACGAATAACGCTTTGAAGAAATGGCACCAAGCCGTGAGGAAGAGACAAAAGAAGGGAAATTCAACTTCCCCCACCATAACGCCAGGCTCTAGTCCAAGAACAAGCCCATCAGCATCCCCTGTTCACCTTCTTCATCGTTACAGAACTATAGGGACCTCTGATATGAAGCATGAAAGATACCACACGGACCAGGAAAATGAAAGATCTGAAATGATAGAAACCACACCTTATTCATCAGATCGAGATAATTCTGAAACTGAGAACGACAACTCCACAATGACATATATGATCCCGAGCTTCAAGCACAGTGCAGTGAACCCCAAGACAGCTGAAATCCGGCTGCACGTAGAAGGAGCAAGGGAAGAAGAATTCACCTTTGTTAAACCCACAACGGAATATGAAAAGAAGTCACAAGGCCTTAGCTGAATTCTCATTTTAGCTTCTTTTGTTAGATGAGAAGCATGTTACTTTGAACCACACTGGCTCTTTTACTTCAAAATTTACACTAGTTTCTTGTTATTTAAATTGCCAGAGTTTGTACATAAACATTTAAATGGCATACAAGTAGGTATTCAAATCTGAGGAGTGCGGTAATAATTAGAAGGGAAACAGAGAAACGACTGTTTTCGGCATTTCTAATGTTGTATAAGAGACGTTTTAGCATTGAAACCAAAATTAGCACTGAACAAGTGGATTCATTTGAGACTAATATCTTGATGTTTTTATAAAAATAATGTGAGAAGCATGCCGATATTTTGTTCTGATTTTTTTTCCAACAATAATAAAATCCCAAATTTTTATTTATCACAAATTGCTGGCCTAGCAAAATCACCAAGTAATCTTCACTGCCAATATGCAAACTAAGGGGTGAAGCTAGAAGTACAGAATTATTCGTTAACAATTTCTTCAATCAGCATCAACCACCAGTGATGAAAAGAAGTTAGCTCGATCAAAATCATTTTGTTCAAAATGAGTCTTACAGTAAGATAATAACTTTGATGATTGAAGCCAAACTCAGTGAACCTTAATAACAGATTTTATCTCTGTGAGCATTCACATTTCAACTATCAGAAAACAGCAACGCCAAAATATATGCATCCAATACACTAAATCATGTATTTCATGAAGTTCTAGGGCATGCATGTGACCAATTATACCTGTAATGAACCTTAAATGTCACTCAAAACAGCCAGTGGAATCATCTTCCATGAAAAAAAGATAGAAATCCCAAAGAAAGTTAGTCCTCTTTCACATGAACCGGACCATGGATAAGAACGAACACCATAGATGAGAGAGCTCCAACTAAATATCCAGCAACAGCACCATAGGTGACACAAATTGGCCATTCCTGCATAAAATGACCGCAACGCATATATGAACTATAGTAAGTACAGCTGTACTGGTACGAGCGATGTAGCTACATAATAAACATAAAGTGACTCCAAAGTACTAAGGCTGACTGCATGGCAAAGGAAGCGTTTACAAATCATTATTCTTTTGTTTGTTAACAATGTTAATTGGTATGATCAACACCATAATGTAAAATTATTTTTTCAGAGAGAGAAAACTCCCACATGAATATTTGCAAAGATCTGAAATCAGAAAAAGCAGCAAACATCTTTCGTCTCTATTAACGTTATCAGATACCTGAGCATAAGAAAAACATTAACACAAAGACGATGACGGTTTGGCAAGGTTGAAATCATGAAAACTAAACTTGAAGTAACCTGATCATTTGCAAACTTTCAGCAGTAAAAAACCAGATACACGCCTGACCTAGAACAAAACACGAGAGGTCGAGTATGCAATATTTTCATGGTTCAACGGTTTATAAAAGAAATAGCACATAAGCATTGCTTAATTTTGGAGCAGGGAAACCATCATTTAAGAATCAAATGAAGGAGAAATAGCATATAAATACATAATTTAAGAAAAACCATCATTTTATAGAAAAACACAGAATAAAGGAATCTCTAAAGGTTGTTTGGTTGTCTGTAACGTAAATAGAGGGGAAGTATTTTTCCTTTTTGGTTATATGCATGAAAAGTAAAATAAAAAACAGTGTATTCAAAATGTTTGAACTTGTTTGGTTGTCTGTAAAATAAATATAAATAACTTACTTCTAATATTTATTTAAAAAATTGTTAAAAAATATATGTGAATTATCACGTTGACATGTCATCAATTAATTTTCTTTTAAATTTGCTTCCATTTTTATATCAAGAAGCTAATATAGTTTAAGTTTCGTTCAATATACTATTTCAAAAAGAAATGAATAATAGAATAAATAAGAAATTAATAACTTTTAATGATTTTACTATTTTAACGAAATATACAAATCATTTTAATACATAGCACACACTTCCTATGTGTTTATATATTTAACACCTTAAGACTACTTTTTACATTAATATCACAGAATTATTTCCTATCGCATATAAAATATCACTTTTTTTTTTATTTTTTTAAAGAGAGAAACATCTTCTCATGCATAGGTAGGACTGCATATATACCTAAAAATTGATGTTTAGGTGTTAGATATGTTAATACATGGGATTGAACTACTTTGTATTCAAATATTCCAATAATTAAATATTAATGTATTTTGTCATTCCTTCGATGTGCTGCGATAGAATGTAAATATGATCATGACAAACAAAATCTTTTCTAATGTGCTGTTCGGATCAATTGTCTAGGATATTTTGGCAAGGGTACAGAGAAAATAAAATAAAACAGAAATTCCATTTATTTGAACAACAGAATCATAAATTTTGAACCTAGCATTTACCCCATGAGCATACTCTACTAATAACAAACATTTTAACAGATTTAGCACAGGAAAGCAAATTTTGGCATAATCCATCCTCATTAAAAAACCAAGCTCAGTTCACCTTGTATGTACCCTTCCAGAAAATATTTGGTTCTTACACATCTAAAAAGGGAACAAAAGCCAGATGACTGAACTTATTAGCTCTTGCCCTGTGGTGCCAACTTAGTGATCACCTACTCTAGAAAATGATAGTGGTTGAAATAGTACCGGTTGGTGGAATAGTTATTTAACTCAAGAACAAAGAGAAGAATTTCTAAGTCCTACAATGATAGGAAATCCTAATCAAGAAAATACTATAAAATATTATTGCTTTGCAAGCAGCTAAATTTGATACCATTTAGATAATTGAGACTTATAAGATGGATTTAGATTTGGTATTCCACCAACAGGTAATAATGATAGTAGTAAAACTTATCTAGCCGATGTTAGATAATCTAATAACAATCAAGCAATTAGATTTGGTATTCTATTGATTTTGAGAAAACAAGTACATCATCAATATAAACTAATATATAATCAGAATATGGATTGAAGATTTCCTTCATAATTTTTTGAAATTTAGAAGAAACATTTTTTAAGCCAAACGACATAACATTTCATTCATAATGACCAAACGGAACAGTAAAAACCATTTTATATCTATCAGATTCAAGTATTTGAATATGCCAGTATCCAGATTTTAAATCAAAATTTGAAAATATTAAGGATTTACTTAAGCTATTAAGTAAGTCTCTTTTATTTAGTATGGGATAACGAATCCATTTTAAAACCTCATTTAAAGGTTTATAATTAATAATTAATCTAGGTTTATTTCTTTCTTTTTCTACATTATTCATAACATAGAATGCAGTACAACTCCATGGTGAACTAGATTTTCTAATTAATTTCTTATTAAGAAGTTCATTAATTTCTTCTTTACAAATTTTTAAATATTCTTGATTCATTTGACAAGGTCGTCTTTGTTTTGATATTTCTTTCATTGAAATTATCAATATATGGTAAAGCAATACAGTGCTTTTTTCTATCCCAAAAAACAGTTGGATTGTCACCACAAATTTCTTTTAACATTATTTTTATGTAAAGTAGAAATTTTTTTTTTTATTGAATTATTATTCAATTTTTCTTCTATAGATAATAAAGTAATTTCTTCTTGTAAGAAATTAATTTGATTTTGTTTTAAATTAAATTTATTTATTTCATTCAAAAAAAATTCTGTAAGATTAGTAATAAATTCAAAAATAATTGTTTTTCCAAATTTATTAGAATATATGCCACTATTATCTATTTTATTAATTAGCATAATTTTATAAAGAAATGGAGTTCCCAAAATAATATGTTGAGTTAAATTTTTAACTAATAGGAAAGAAGTATTGATACAAATATCATTTTTGCAAATATTAGCAGAAGAAATTTTATATTTAATTTCCATTTTATTTCCAGACGCAGAGGTTAGCTGTTGCGTAGTTTTCTCAAAATATTTAGAATGTATTATTCCTTCCTGAATACAATTCATATCTGTTCGACTATCAACAAGAGCAGTAAGATTTGATAAAGCATATTCTCGATTTATATATAAATTAATAGTTATAAACCATTTATGCATAATAGCTTTTTGCAAGGAATTTAAAAAAGATTGTTCTAAATTATTATCTTCTACTGATATTTCAGTAGTTGTATTATTTAATTCTAATTTTAATAATCTAGTATTTATTTTTTCTTGGTTTTTACGAAAAATATTTATCTCAGATTTTAAAATGTTAACTTCATTTTTTAAATCATTTATAGTAGTAGGTCTGCTATCAGTATTTAAAATTAAAGCTTTGTTTAAAGCTTCTTTCATTTAATATCCTTGAAAAGGAATAGTATTAGAAGAGGAGGATTCTCCTTTAGATTCAATTATTATTTTAAGCATTTTATTTTTAATCTTTTCATCCTCGATTTGAGAAGCAACTGAATTGTCAGACGTCTCCGAATTTTCAGGATATGAATTTAATATAATTTTGAAAATAGAATGTTTAATATTTTCATCAATATTAAGCTCATTTATTTTCTTTTTTACTATGCATTTATTTGCATAGTGGCCAGTTTTGCCACATTTGTAGCATTTTATTTCTCTGAATTCTCTATTTTTATTTTTTCTATGAGAAATCTTTGGCCTTTTCTCTGAATAATATTTTTCAGAGTGCTTATGATATTTTTTCTTTTTGCGAAAAGATTTTTCTTTTTCTTTTGGAAATTTTGGAATATCATAAGCAAATTGTTCACAGAAAGCGCCTAATTATTTTCTTTCTGTTAATCTTTCTTTTTTAATTTGATATCTTAATTTAATATCTGTACATAAGGCTAATCCTTCTTGTACACAAGTATTTATTAGTTGTCCATATGTCAGATTTTTATATAGAATGCGTTTAATATTAATATTTTGTAATTGTCTTTTTATTTTATCAGCAAAAAGATTAGTTAATCCTTCAATAAATTTTTGCTTCCAGTACGTATTATTCGCGTCTAGTAGAGACATTATTCTAATTAAAAAGTCATCTTTATACCAACAAAAATGTGTCAGCGTAGGACATCTTAATTTTTGTAAAAGAGAACGAATTTGTTCTCCATTATCGGATACTATACCAGAAAAATGCTGTAAAATATTAATAATTAATTTATAAACATCAGTATTTTTTTTATTAGGATTTCTTATCATTGTAGGACTTAGAAATTTTTCTCTTTGTTTTTGAGTTAAATAATTATCTCACCATCCTTTGAGAAGGCCAGTAAACCCACATGTTAACTGGGTTAGAATCTGATGGGCACGATTATTATGACTCTGTGCAGCAGAGACATAAATCATCATTCTTTATAATACTATTTGTATTTGACGATCTGTCATACCATCAATATCTCATTCATAAATATTAGATGGATTATAATCATTTTGATATTTATTGTTATCTTCCTCATATAAAACATCTGCAGGGGTAGGTCGAGGATAGTAGTATCGACTTGTCTGCCTTGTTTGATATGAAGATGAGGTTTTATTACCTTTTAGTTTATGTATTTTAAATAATTCTAGTTCTGAATTATTATCTTTAAATTGTTCTTCAATTTGTTCTATTTTTATTTTATCATTATCAGAATTTTCTGATTGATCAGTTAATTGGTCATCTTTATTTAAGGTCGTTATTTTAGTACTTTTTATATTTTTAATTAATTC